CCCTTACTGCTATGGCATCGTTCTGGGAGTGTCTTCTCACGACAATTGACTTTCCCAGACATCATAGTTCAGGACTTAGGGTTGGACATTGGGCATCTGGGGACGACAATGCAGGACCGAACAGTGTGGAAAGAGATTGTCAATGGAGTTCCGACCAACCATAGGGAGGTCGAAGGATTTATGATGAACTCACACATTACGAAGGGCATTATCTCTGTAAAATATGATACCTTTGTTTTGTTTTACAAAAATGATCAGTGTAAAATATCATGAAGCTCTTTCTGACCTTAGGTTGGGACCCGGAAGAAAATGTGTATACAACGGAAATCAAAGGAGATAATAATAATAATAATAATAATAATAATAATAATAATAAAAGCCCTGATGCTACAAAAGGCATAGTTCTCATCGCTTCTGATCTTGAAGCTGTTAAAATTAAGATAGGCTCCCGCTGATATCCTGTTCGGTACCAGTTCATCATATCCACTATGTTCATCCCTATTCATGAGATGGGGCACTGTTTAAAGGATGAGGCAGCCAAGGCGACTTGGGTGTCACATCCGGATACTTTGAGGCATTTTCAATTGGAGACCATCTGAGCACACTGGCTTATCTCAGCTGAAGGTATTTCTTAACTGGACTCCACCTGCGAGGTTATGCGTTGTTTCTATAAAGCCCATTATCATTTCGTGCACATTTGGCTGTGAGGCATGTGTCTGTTATACGTTTATCAGACCGGTTAGGAAGATCATATTGAATCAAATGATGGTCTGTTGCTAGAAAACTTTGTTCAATATCTGGTGCTAGACATTTTTCTCGACAGACTCTATCCAACTCATTTCTAAGTCGAGCATTCGTCCATTTATTGAATATTTCTATCACATCTGGTCTGGTAGCCCTGTTATGTATTTAGAGATTCTTGATAAAATACAAAAATCTGCAAGGTTATCGGTCTTGACCTGGCATCTCAGCTTCAGTCACTTTGTGATATAGCTTCCGTGTAACTTTTAAAGTTTTGTAGATCAAAGTTGACTGGGAAGCAAGAGGCGGGACGAGAGTTCTTCAAGCGAGAAGTGCGAGAAACAAAACTGTTAGCATATAACTTAGGTTACACCTAATAATTTCAACTATAAAGTGATAGGACCTAATTGCCAATCTAGTACTGCACTCAAATTCGTAAAGTCGATGTACAAAGTGAAAAGCTCATCAGAACAATTACCATGAAAATATTTATATGCAAAAGTCACAATGAACCTACGTTACGACGGTGGGAAAGGAAGTGAAGCCGAAATGCCAGATCATGATCGATAACATTGCAGATCTTTTTGATTTTATCAAGAATTTCTCGCAAGAATTTTATCATGAATTTCACGATCGTCATCGACCTCACAAAAATTCAAAATTCAGCAGCCAGCTCTTTTAGAATGTAAGAATGTTTTGGAAATAAAAATGGTTTACTGATAAAAATTCTACTAATTAACCCATAGTTGGGGGAGAAAAGGTGGATTCATATCTTTCCCGAGGGTATTTGCGCGTAAGTGAATATAACGAACCCAACGAGAATTCGAACTCGGCTCTCCGATTAATAATTCCGATTACACCAGCCACACATTCAAACCTACAGCACCTGATATTCCCAAGCGGTCACCCATCTAGCTACTGACCAGGCTCGATGTTGCTTAACATTGGTGATCGTACCGCTCATGAAGACATGTATTCATGATTGTGTTAACTCACTGTAAATGTGAAGAAAACTTAAATGCCCATTGGAAGCTTAATTTTTAATTTTAAAAACACAACTTCTGAAATACGAAAAAATATAAGACAAAAAAAGTGATTAAAATTCGAATATTGGTTAGCATGGCAAGAACTTAAATTTGATTCATTTTCGTAAATGCTTAGTCGATTTGTTGCCTTTTAAGCTCAAGCAATAATCAGCCATCTTTCTTTTTTGTCCTATCTTCCTTGATAGCGTTCTTTCATAAATTTAATGTCGTGCTGGAATCTTTCGCCTTGCTGATCAATAACATGACTGAAATGAAATGACACTTCTTCGAAATTGTTATGTTGAAACACACCTATTCTATAGTTAATAGACTCTCCCACCTATAATAAGTAGGAGAAGTAAGAGTAACGAGCCAGTCAGTCAGTCAGTCAGTGAGTCGATGTCGGACGACAGTTAGTCGAATATGAACGTATCAGCGACCACAACTAGATTACTCTGCGTTATACCTATTATATCAAGTTCCTAACGTTTTGTACGTCGAACCTATTTTAGGACCGACTTAGTACAAATACAAGCCTCCACTGTGAAAATCACTCCACAACACAAACTCGAGTTTCTCTCACAAATGCTTGATACAGAATATGTAAAGTGATTATATACAAGGACTTTATTTTGTTCCCACTCATAACTTAGAACAATATGGCCACTTGACGTAGTGCAATGGTTAGCAAGCTTGTCTTGCTAAATCAATTATGACTGAATAGTGAGTTGAATTCTCACTGGATGCCCTATACTTCGGGCTTTGTGCCACGTCTAAGATACGCTTAGAAAATCACCATAACTTAAGAAAATATAATGACATTGTTATTGTCATTAGGCATTATCATAATATAAATTTACTCCAATCCTGATGAGCGGTCATAGCCTCACTGTGGCTGCTTACATTAAACTCGTATTGAGGGAACAGTAGAGAGGAAAACTGGATCAGGAGGTCAAAACAGGAAGAGGGATCATCATTTTTACATAGAGCTAACGAGATCAATTATAAAAACTCAAACTCAATACATATGACATTTGGCATTCAATCCTTCGTGAGTTTCCCATCCTTAGCTATAATTAATTAATGATGAACATGTCATTTTCATTTATTGATTGATTTCATCACGATTTTTCTGTTAAGCTTGGGGAATAATTATACATTCTTATTGGTCAAAGTAGAGTCCAATAGTGTTATAAAAACCTTAGAGAATTCCAGTAAGATATATTTAATCATTTCTTAGATATAACGGTTCAAAGCTGAATTTAACAATTGGATAATTTTGCTGTTATCTGATTTGTACAATTTTGCTGTTACATCCGGTATATATATATATATATATATATATATATATATATATATATTTTTTGCAGTGATTTTCTCTATCGCAGTTCATTGACTCCACCTAGTTTTCCTGAGTCAATATTTCGTGAATTGATGAAATTTGCCACGTCCTCCGTTGAATTCAGTTTCAACAACACCATGTACCAACAGATCGACGGAGTCGCTATGGGCTCGCCTTTGGGTCCGGCACTTGCCAACATATTTGTTGGCTTTCAGGAAGAAGAGATACGAAAGAATCCACTTTGTCCTCAAATGTACTGTCGGTACGTTGATGACCTTTTGTTTATTTAACAGTGAAGTTGAGGCTGACCAGTTTCTTTCGTTTTTAAATGGTATCCATCCGGCACTGAGGTTCACTATTGAAAAAGAGTCCAATCATCAATTGGCCTTTTTGGATGTATTAGTACATCGCACATTAACAGGTTTTACTCACTTCCGTTTATAGAAAACCTACTTTCGCAGAGTTGTACACGCGTTGGGACTCTTTTTGTCCCACTAAGCGCAAGATTAACATTATTAAAACCCCCCTACATAGAGCATTAAAGATCTGCTCTGAGCCTTTCTTGAACGACGAAATCGACTTTATTAAGGATACGCTATGTAATTTGGGTTATCCTCTTGATACTGTTAATTCAGCTATCCGTAGTAAAGTTGAAGAGTTCAGAAGTGCCGATCTCTACACTGTCAAAAAATGCCTAGTTTACTTCAGATTACCCTGGATTGGTACCAAATGTGAAAAAATAGCTAAAAAAAATTCATCCAAGGTTCGTGGTTGTTTTTTCTCTGCTGAAGTTCGGATTATTTTTCAAACTCGGCCTATGTTTCGATCTGCGTGTAAAGACATTCTCCCTCCTCATCAAATTAATTCAGTTATTTACAAATACGTTTGTAGTTGCGGAGCCGACTACATAGGGAGAACAACTCACCGCTTAGACATGAGAATAAAACAACACGTTCCTACAAAAATTAGAAATCACACCTTGCCTTTGAATGGACTCGTCCCGAACACCTATAGTTCCACCATATGCGAACACCTATTAAAGAACAGAGATTGTGCAGCCAAATTTAGTGTTGACTGGCACACCGTGTTGTCCCGGTCTCACTCCTTATTTCATCTAAAGGTTCTGGAGGCACTTTACATCGGTTCCCGTAAGCCTTTTTTGTGCAAACAACGTGAGTGTTTGTTGGGACTCTCTGTCATTTGTCTCTAGTTCCTTTTGCATATTTTTTTTTTTTTTACAATTCCTTTTATTGTACATTTTTCTGTGTTAATTTTAAATCTCCCGTTGAAGCCTGAAGAGCGGGAGCGAAACCGGTTGCTTCACCCGTTTTTTAAATATGTCTCGTAATATTTTTAGTTTTATACTTTTATTTCGATCATGTATATATATATATATATATATATATATATATATATATATCGTTTGTGAGTGTGCTGAAAAGTCATCACTCCCCGATGCACTTCTTAAAATCTAACCAGATGACGAAACAGCATTTTACTTCGATAACTTTTCCGCACCCGCCGCATCCCGTAGAGTAGAATAGTACAAGCAGGTTTAGCATCGTGGGTGGTTTGACTGGCCTTGTCAATTTGTTTCAGATATGGAAAGTAAACTGAGTTCTGTCAAATTATGAAAAGAAGTCTTTCCAATGAACTGACAAACGAATTACTTGTGCCATGTGCGAAGAAAAGACGGATTATTTCACAAACGAAACCGACAGAAACTAATTTATCACTTAAGAGATTGATTTTTAGAATTCGATAGTTACGTCGTCAGGTCTTCGACTATAAAGTTCAAGTACCACCCAAGCACACTATTGGTTGACTCTCAGACACTTCTTATCTCTTGTAAAGTGCTATGATCTGGGTGGGGTCTGGAATTGATCTTACAGGCCTGAGATTATTAGGTTTAACAGTAGTTTTTCTTCTCTTCCTCTCTCTCTTCCCCACTCGCTCGCTGCACACATTCGCTTCATTCCCCCCTCCCGCTATTTCTTCTTCTTCTTCTTCTTCTTCTTCTTCTTCTTCTTCTTCTTCTTCTTCTTCTTCTTCAGTTTTCATCACTATTCCTTCTTTCTGTCTTTATTTCTGAGATGAGGTATTATGTACATTATTTACATTATTCGGATTATTGTCCTCATCTTTGTCGTCATATTTATTACAACGTTTCGGCCGTTGTACGCTCCGGCCTTCTTCAGTATCTGTCTATATTTCTGAGATGAGGTATTATGTACACTATTTACATTATTCGGACTATTTTCCTCATCTTTGTCACCGTATTTATTACAACGTTTCGGCCTTTCAGTATCTGTCTATATTTCTGAGATGAGGTATTATGTACACTATTTACATTATTCGGACTATTGTCCTCATCTTTGTCGCAATATTTATTACAACGTTTCGGCACTTCAGTATCTGTCTATATTTCTGAGATGAGGTATTATTATTCGGACTATTGTCCTCATCTTTGTCGCAATATTTATTCAACGTTTCGGCACTTCAGTATCTGTCTATATTTCTGAGATGAGGTATTATGTACACTATTTACATTATTCGGACTATTGTCCTCATCTTTGTCACCATATTTATTACACATGACACAGTGGATAAAGGCGTTGGTTAGGTCCAGTGACAGGACCCAAACAGTGTGAGTTCAATACCCGGTTAAGGCAGTGGAGAACTTGGAGAGGGGAATTAACAGGAGATAACTGATAACTGACATCCATGAAACATGGCACGTGGAACGAGAACAGTCTACCCCAGTGAGCGAAATAAAGGGTTCAGTTCGAAATTCCAACCATCTGAAGAAGGCCGGAGAGTACAGCGGCTGAAACGTCGTGATAAATATGGCAACAAAGATGAGGACAATAGTCCAAATAATGTAAATAGTGGTGTTACCCTTTCTAAACATTATTGGTTAAAGTAGTCTCTTTTATCTTTACATAGATGTCTATGTCAAAAGTACTCACGATAGAAAGAAAAGAAGAAAAACACAAGGACAAATGTAAGTTATTTAATATTTATATACTGTCCTAGACATATAAATCTCAAGCGCAAGCGCAATGATGCATAAAGCCACATCTGCAGAAAGAAATCTCTGACGACATGAAACCAGCGATATTTACAACTTATTTCTCACAGTGTTTATTAATTCATAAGCTGATATGTCGTGTTTGTAATTCAAAACTGGTATATCTCGTTTCCTTTCTATTGTTTTGCGATTTAATTTATTTTATTAGCGTCTTGTTAAGCGGGAAATGACGAACACCAGTACATTTTCTCGAAAGAAACCATTTTATTCGTGACACCGCCTTATGGAAACACGCTAATTTTTTGTGCCATAATTTTTCTTCTTGTGACCCGAGAGAACTGAGACATGTGTAGGAATCCGTCTAATCGGGTTTTTATTAAATGTCAAAATTCGATACAATAACGTAAAATATATTTGCGGGGCTGCTTGTAATTCCACGATTTTCATTGAAAGAATAAAATTCAGTAGAAAAAGTCAACGTAGTTGCAACACATAAACATTAATTTAATATAACGACAAGAATACAAGCAGTTGATTATAGATTAGAAAGTAATATCTTTTTGTTTTGGGTAATAAAGTTCTGGAATAGAATATAAATTGTATTTGTGTACGTATGTGAGAACGATAAAATGTTGTTATATGTGTGTTTGTGTGAAAGAGTCAATACGTGTAACGGGGAATACAAGAGATAGGTAGAATTTAGTCCTTATGTAGTTTGAGGGTTTCTCTTTGTAGTTTGTCAGCGTAGTAGATTTTTGCGTGTGGGCGTGAATGGGGTCTTGAAGATAAACAGCTAAAGTGACGTGGACCTTGGTGATATCGGTACGTCTCCATTTTAGGTGGGGGTCGAACTTCGAGATTTTTATACACTTTTTCATAAGTGATATAATGGAATAACCTGTCACCCCCATGAGTGACTACACTATAGGTAGTAACTAACTATAAGTATCTGTAAGTCAACGAACTACAGAGGTTAGCTGGGATCTGTTCCAGCTGTGCTACGGGCTCGGGAACCCCACATTAAATTCGGCCTTGTGACACGTGTGACTGCGTGGGGTAGTTGCTAGATACTCTAGCTGGGCTCTGTTCCAGCTGGGCTGTTAAACTCTCTGCCTTCGGGTATAGAGGAACCTGGACGAGGCTATGCCGAAGGACAGAGTCTCGTCCGTGGAGATAGACAAACCCGAACCCGTTTATGTGGGTTCTACGGGGAATTTTTGGCCGAGCCTATGGGCTCAGATGACCCACATTAAACTCGGCCATGTGCCACATTCTACCTCGTGGGGAGGCTGGTGAATATCGGCTAGCTGGGATCTTTTCCAGCTGTGCTGGTCATACTGTCTGCTTCCGGGAAGAGAGGATCCCCAGACGAGGCTATGCCGAAGGACAGAGTCTAGACTCGGGAAACAACTACCCGATCCCGTTTTATACGGGGTCTACGAGGAATTTTTGGCCGAGCCACATTAAACTCGGCCTTGTGCCACATCTACCCTCGTAGGGAAGCTGGTAAATATCGACTAGCTGGGATTTGTTGAGTACGACTCAGACTTACGCGAGAACTACCGACCTTCCACTCACTACTGGATTGACTTGCGATGACCTTGTGCATAACTGTTACCTTTATTCTTATTGTATTGGTTTTTTACAACAAAATTTACTTATTTTATCCCCCTTTTTTTCAAGTATATATTCCTGTTAGCACGGAATATAACAGTAAAAAAATCGGCTCCAGAATTATATTATTTATTTCTTCTTAGTTGGTCTTAAAAATCCACGTGTTACGTCTTCTACTGCGTCTGTAGGATCTTTGGCTGTGTATATCTAAATCATGATTAATAATAAGACAACCTTTGTGATTTGTATTCTATAGTTTTATTTGTGTGTTTTAAGATGTTAGCACTTTATTGAGTGCGATTGGTTTATAAATATTGTATTTGATATTGTCATGGGATCTTACCCATAATAATAATAATGGACTATTCCATACTTAATAAATACTGCGCCTCAGGAGTAGGCAAGTCAGTCAGTCAGTCAGTTAATAGTTCAAGTCGAGTCAAGAGTCGAGTCAGAGGCAGTCCGAAAGAGTCACGTTCAGACAATTACTACAAGATATTGGAATAGTGATATTGGTCGAGACTACATTGTTCTCTCTACTAAACCTGATTGTTCATACTAACACTTTTACTTCTCTGTATATATTCCTGTTTGTAATATATCTATGTTATTCCATATCCGCCTTCGAGCTCTTCTTTATTGGTTCTACCTTGGACTATCAGCGTGGTACAAGGAACCGGACCATAACAGATATTAGAGTGGACACAACACATACATGGTAAGGAAAAAAGATCAACTTTGTTTTTTTTTTTAGTTTTTTTTGCAAAATCAGAGTAGTTCGATTCCATCAATAATAAAAAAAAACAATGTCTTGAAGTCATCGATGTTTTGCGATGATTCAAAAACGTAGCTGCCAATCTTGAATGCTAGAATTCATATAAATGGTGATTACCACATCTTACTTAATTGAGAGCCGTCCTCTCACACTGCGCATCACTTGTGAAGCCTTCTGTCATGTTTCGGCGTCCATGGCCCCTAAGACAATTGTAGAGGTCGCTTGCTTCTCGAATTTATATTAAACGCAAAATACCACAAAATATGAAACAATAAGAAGAATCACAAAACGGTTTTATAACAAAGAATATTTATATTTATATATGTAATGATGTATATGCATAGGGGTTACTTCCCTTTGGCTGGAAAGTTTTTATTAATGGAATACTTTTTTTTATCTGAGCTCATAAAAGGTTGAATGAACTTGCCGCTCAAAATGTTCACTGTGAGAATGTGTTTGGTAAAATGGAACTTTGAATATTTACTTGATGTTTCAAGAAGTTTTGTTTGGTACTAAATAAAATTTAGTTTTTGTACGTCTGAAAAGAATTAAAATTAACCTTGCCGCTAAAAGAAAAAAGGTTCATCAAGGGCAAATCTTGTTAAATAGAGCTGAATGAATCTTGAATTATGTCCTGAGGAGCAGAAAATGTGTTCGGTGAACTTGTAGCTTCAGATAACTTTTTTTTAAAGTAATTTCTTGCTGGTGAAGAATTGAGAAATACTGTAATATCCAAGTTAAGTTTCTTTAGCTTGGCAACGATGTGTCTGGCTGACTTTTCTTTGATCTCACTGTGAAAGTGTGGAAAGTTCGCATGCGTTGATTAGTTGAAAGGTCGTATATGTTTGCACTGTTAATAATTAAGTTTCGTAATATTTATAATTAAGTTGCGTAATGTTTGTAATTAAGTTTCGTACGTACGTGTATGTATGCATGGGTGAATATGTTTTCATAGCATCCGCCAGAAACGGGGTCGGAACGCGATTTTTTTAACAGCTACATTTTCGTAATCACAAAGAGAGTGTAAAGTAGAAACAGACTTGTATCTGCTATTTATAATCAGCGTAATCACGTGGTCGGCTCCTGGAAGCATTTCTAATTTTATGTCGGGAAAATTTTGACTTGGTCACGCGCTAGAAAAAAGACTTGTATGTGGCTGGATTGCAACGCCCACTTGTGTGTTTATTGATCAATCAGACGTTGAGGTTTTCTGAAAATATGTATGAAGCTGGGTAAGCTCTGTGATCCGCTTTATGCACAGATTTGCACAAAAATCAACATTGATAAGAAATTGGTAGCCGGGTGTTAAACCATCATTAAAGTACAATTCCGGTTTTAGTTTAACGAATTCTTCAAAGAATATTTAGGTATTTTGAATTAACCGGAAGCGCTCTTCAATCGAAGATTTTATCAAGCGAAACTAGTGAGTCTGAAGAACTACTGAAATTATGAACATTTCTTTTACATTTTATTAATTTATTTTCATTTAAGATTTTGTAGCGATATTGACGACCTAAATCAACGCGTACATTTTTTTTTACTTTACAAATGTTTAAAGCAAACACAAAAGCAACAAGAAAAACAAGGAACACAAAACGGTTTTGTAACAACAACAATATTTATATTTGTGTAATGATCTACACAAATATAAGGCTTACTATTTTTATTTGTG